CTTTTTTCCTAGGGATCCAACAATTACACCTGTAAAAGCAATGAGTTGTATTCTGGCATAGATCAACTTCCACGATACGCTGGTAGATATAATTGGTCGCTGTATAAAAATTCGATGTACCAAAATCTCAAACATGGACGCTAGAGCACCTACAACTATCGCGAAATAGGTCTGTTACCACCCGGGTTGACGTCCATAGAAGAAAATGCTAAATTTGACCTTTTTGTGTTTATAACGTAGTCCAGGATGAGTTCTCACCCAAAAAACCCAAAAATTACATGAAAATGTTTTTTTTTGTAAACACGATTATTATCTTTTGCTAAGATCATAATAAATTTGTAAAAAAAACAGGCCTTTTTCTCAACCATCATAATTTTCTAGAAATTTTCTAGACGCTAAAAATTATTTAGCCATATCTTCAAAAAGTTACTTTTTTGGTATATATTTCCATGTGAAAAAGTTAAAAATATCTTTTATAGCTAAAACCACCAAATGCAATTTATATGCGTGGTAACTGCCAGTTACACTCTGGGTTTTCTCATGACAAAAAAACCTAGGTTAGTGTTTCGGTTGAATCACGAAATTTCTAAACAAATATTTTTTGGTATTTTCATTCATGGAAAACATGCTTGTCATACAGTTTCATAGTATGGAAAAAATGCTTGTCATACAATTTCATATATGAAAAAAATGCTTATTTTGCTGTTTTCATACATACGCTTTTACTCTATGAAATTGTATGAAAGAGAATGATAAGCATTTTTTTCATATATGAAAATTGTATGATAAGCATTTTTTGTCAACAACCCGGGAAAGCAGAATTGGCAGAATGCAATGAATAGTTGTTCCATGTTACATCTCGATGGACGCGTCGGCACCGATAACCAGCAGCTGTTTTCATCAACAATTTTTCGTTCTCTCAGTATTTTGTATTCGGACAACCCGGGTCGAGGTGTGCGATGTATGTTTCGAGCGACTCGACCGAAAATTGGTATGTTTGGACCGACTCGACGCAAGTTGTCTTTGTTTCGACCAAGTTTGGCCGAGGAAAAACATTTTGACCCAGTTCGACCAGGGAAAAAACGTTCATAAACCAATTTTCATTAAAAAAATACTGCAAATTTTCTTTTTTGTAGAAAAAAGTGACGGAATATTTTTGCTCGGGGTCTTTTTTTTTCGCCAGACTTTAAAATTAGAACATTTTTTGCAATTTTCTTATACAACTTGAAAGGTATATTTGTCCTAAACTCAAAATTTAATATATATTTTTCCGTGATCATTTTTGTCAAGTTGTGAGGGTTTAAAGATTGTCAATTTGATCTAATTGGGATAATTATCGTGCGATATATTTTGTGCTAGTAACAGAGGTTTAATCCGTCTTCAAAATTGAACTCAGGCATGCTATTTGGTCTTGTTATTACTTTAGTGTATGTAAAATCTATCACTTAGTTTTTTATGTAGCATGTGGGGTGATAAGTTTCAAAATAAAATATTGAAAAAGTTTTTTTTTTATTTTTTTTTTTCATTTTTTGAAAAATTCAATCATTTTGTTTACAGAAACCTTTCATCAAAGATCCTAAAATGCAGTCGGAACATTCAGGTCTTTGCTTGATACGAGCAGTCTGGTTGAAATTGGTTTTTGATCCAACAAGTTCGCAAAGGAGGGAAGAAATGTGACGTAGAGTATTTTTTTTATTTATCTCAAAAAGATCGTAAGGCTAGTATATGATATCATATTAAAGCCTTGTTTGATTGCAATTTCAACGCCCTTTTACGATTTGAAGTAAACGAAAAAAAATTGAAAAAATTGCGTCGGAAATTTTTTTTTATCTGGATTCTTTTCAATTTCCAGACAAAAATTAGACAAAGTTTGATTACAGGCTAACCTTCTCCAATTATACTTCAATTACATTTTTGACATTTAATTTTTATTAACTCTAATACTAGCATTTTTAAGGTTTATTCAGTCATGCTGTAATTAAGGTTAAGCGTAGTTTTAGAGAACAATAATGAGAAACGAAAGCAGCATACATTTTCCTATATGTTTTGTGCATTTTGATTTGTTTTTTATTTTCTGTAGTCGGAATCTCCTGCGCTATGAGCACAAAAACTAACTTTTGTTTTGTTTTTGATAGAAATGCGAACTGGAAACATTTTTATAATTTGAATTGACTTAGGTTATTATGCGGTTTTAAAATTTTACTGGCTCAAACTGTAGAGAAATCTTTATGATGATGGTCTCAAAACTAATTCCGATGCAATTCTGTCAATTCCATTCCTCAAAAACGAATCTATTTTTGCTCAATTGGCTCTTGATGAAAGTCACATAACTGTAGGTTATCAATTTTTTTCATACATCGTATTGTCCAAAAAGTAACAATAATTACTGTTTTCACAACAGTTTCAATTTCACAAGACATGTTTTTTGATTAAACTTCATAAAGTGGCATAGGATGACTCAAAATGAAATGCTTGTCTCAGGCAATTTTCAAATAATCTTTTTCCTAACAAACCTATGCGAACATTAAATAAAAAACCTATCAACAAAAACCAGATTTGACAACAGCAACTTTTTCAAGGTTTTTGCTAGCGTAATTTGCGGTTAAATTTTTCTGAGACATTTTCTGCAACCTACTAATAATACATTTTAATCATTTTTTGCTAACAGTGTTTTAAAATCAGCCGAAAAGTATTGTTGTCTTGAGCTCCAGATTAAAAATATTTTTCACCTGTGATCATTTTTTGTAAAAATATGGCGGTTTAAAAATGCTATTTTGGCCAATTCGGGACAATTGACGCGCGATATATTTAGCGTTTTTAACGCGTAAGCGTAAATTTAATCCGGCTTAAAAATAGTTCCAAATTGGTTGCAGGAAGCTTCTTTGCCATTAATGATTTGTTACTAGGAGCGTAATCTATCACTTTTTACTTTATAGGGCGTGTGGATGGATGATTTTCACAAAAAATCTCAAATTTAAAAAAACAAAACTTTTTTCACATTTAATTTGTTCATGTCATTACTGCTGCATAGACCTGAAAAAGCAGTCGGAACAATCAGGGCTCTTGGTACGAGCAGTCTTGTTCCTTTTCTGTTTAGTTGCAAGAAATAAAAAATATAATGATTAGCTCGTATTTGTTTGGCGGATATGATTTGCATAGCTCAAAAAACTCGACAAGAATTGCAGTTGAGACAGTAGTTGATTTTAAGCTATAAAAAGAAACTAGACTGAGGTTTGCGGCATATTTCAGTTTTCTTTTACATTCCACTAAATAAATTTTCCCAGGCTAAATTAAATTAAAATGTTATTTTCAGTAAAATATAAATTAGTAAGCATAATAAAAAGCGGACTATTTTGTTAAATTTCAGTAAAGTATATTTAGGCAATTTTCAAAACTCAAAGCTTTGTAATCAAATTTGAAATCAGAATGTTGATTTGCGTCAAGGCATTCTGTCGAGTCCTATAAAATCGCTTTGAGCTCTAACAACAATTTAGACCACAAGCCAATTAGATGCGATGCAGTTTTGACGTTTTTGCAAAAACGTAAATATGAAAATTCGGCGTCTTAATTTAAATGTTATCGAAAGAAAAACTGCTTGCTGACTTCATGAATTTTCAGCAGAGCTTCCCCTAGCGCAAATTTAACGATCAAAGACGGAACACTTCAAAATCATTTTTGCTTAGCATCGACTTGATCAAAAACTGGATACAAATGTTGGTTTTAGGTTCAGATACGATTGAAAGTCAGATATGATTGCCGTTATCGTGGCTTTATCTCCAACTGTTCCGAAAGGTTATAGAAAAATGTATAAAGTATTTTTGTAAAAAAAGATCTGTTTTATTCATAATCAGCAACACAAAATATTTTTTATTCATGATAATTTCCACGCTCACAAAAATTGGAGATATTGCAAAAATGAATAAATTTTGAAAGATGCTCTGAATTTTGAAAGACTGCACTGTGATCGTTTGTTCCATTTTTTCACTGTCCTAAATCTAACAATTGCGCTCCAAATTTTAACAAACTTCCCCACCTTCCCCCCCTTCACCCCCCTTCCCCCCCCCCCCCCCCCCCCGAGCGCTTTATGTTGTGAAATGTCCTTTTTTAGGTGAAAAAAAACTTCAAATGAAGTAAATTATATCAGGTCGTGAAGCAAGCTTTGAAGCTGCCGCAAAAACTCAATGCTCCGAGGTCTCCTATTTGGAGAGTGTTTTTCATTGCACACAGGCCGTTTCCGAAAATTATCAGATTCTTGGTTTAAATTTTGTCTTCAAAAACAGACGTTCAATCTGAGCTGAGTATTTTTGCCACGGTTCCAAGCTGTTGCGATATGAAAAATTCAGAAACAATTGAAAAGCTGTTTTTGACATGAAGCTTTAAATTTTAAATTGAGGAATTAGTCAAAATAATAGAAAACTTAGGCAAAAGAAATCTATTAGATTTTTGTTTGGAAAGTTTTCGACAGATCCACTGATCTGTTTTCAAACATTCATAACTTAACGATTTTCTAATTTTGAGCTCACGGTATTGAAATCTTTCAGATGGCGTTAAAAATGTTCATGAAAAGTAATTTTTCCGAGCAGTTGCATTTGTCTGGAGAATAACCAAATTTTTTGGAGGTTGGATTTTTTATGCAAAATTTAAATAAAACTTCTACATTTTTTAAAATATATATTGTTTCCTCTGTGTTTACATATCTAAGCAACCGCAACATGATTTTATCTGCGACTATCACGAAAGTTATATTCGTACTTTATTCGCCAATTCGGAAGTTTCTGCATCAACACGAGCTTCGCGCTTAAATTTTTTTGATTTCCCCCTTTCTTTGAACTTTTTCCCACTCTTCTTAACTTAACAGAAAATGCATTACTCGACAGGCAGAAATAATTAGGAGTGATTTTTTTTCTATTCGAACCAATTTTACAAAAAAAATTTGGTCGCTCCGGGGATCAATCCGGAAATCTTCAGATAGTCAAGCGAGCGTGTTTGTGTTTCTTCAGGCGGACAAAGCAGAGCTGGGCGATCTAATGTTGACTCTAGTTTATCTTCCATCCGCCAGAAGACTGACAGTTATAGTCGTGAAAGCAGTCAACCTCAAAATCATGGACATCACTGGCGCCTCGGACCCCTACGTCAAAGTGTCCCTGATCCAGGGGGGAAAGAGAATCAGAAAGAGGAAGACGTCTGTCCATAGGAGGACTGTGAACCCAGTCTTCAATGAGGCACTCTTCTTCGACATCGGGGAGGAGCAGTTGGATGACTCACACTTGCTCGTACAAGTCATAGACCACGACAGGTACTCTCGCCTGATTTGTAGATTTTAATTTTAAAACAAATAGATTCTTGTTTACTCAATCAGCTGAAAATTATGAGCTTCCCTCGTCTGTGAGTCAGCGGAGGGGGAGGGGGCTCGCAATTTAATAATACATAACAGATAACACTGTGCATTTTTTGAATTGTATATGGATTCCGCGACAGGGCAAAAAGAGAATTGTTGCCGAATCCGCAACATTGCATTTTTTCTTTGTCTTCTTTGCTGTTTTGTACTCCACGGACAAATAGCTAAAACCAGTAGCGGGTTTAGGGGGGGGGCTTCTTGAGGGATTCGACCCCCTGCCGACCTAAAGGGTCCCCCTTTGTACTATTTTGAGACATCAATTTTTCGCTGACTGACCTTAAAGATTTTCTAAAGCCTAAAACACTCAAAAAATTCTAAGAATGCTTTTGACATCAATGCGTAATAATTTTGAGCGGGGTGATCTTCGATTAAATGAACTTCGATTCAATTCGAACATAAACGTCGGTTTCAAAAAAACCTTCCAAAAAATTGCCCTAAGAACGACATGTTTGACAATTTTTTTTTTGCGGAGAGCTTGAGATATCAATTTAGTTTTTGGTTGAGAAAAAAAGAAAATCCTAGATCCGCCCCTGAGTAGGAACAAAATAAAAAAGTTTCGTTGAACTAAATGACAGTGTCGTTTTGAATTTTCAAAAAGATTTCGAAACTTTTGTGACCCTTTGATTGAAAAAACAGCCAAAGTTTAAGAAAAACAGAAAAAAAAGCTATTTTAGGCATTTTGTGGGTGGAAATTTGACCAAAAAATTGCGTATTTTTGGCGCACACCCCACTCTTTCTCAAAATTAGCATATATTGGCGCCAAAAAATTTTAGGGTCAGACAGTCAAAAATGGATATCTCAAAGTAATACAAAGAGGATCCTTTGAATGCACCTTTGAATTTTTCAAAGATATATCCCCAAACGATGCTAAGCACAAAAAGATAATTATACTTTTTGTAAGCGACATTGATATACGTGAGTGGTTTCATGCATATTTACAAACGAAAATAATTTCAAAAAATATTTACAAATTACAAAAACCCCCATATGAGGTCCTAAGCTTTTTGATTTTTTTGCTTGCACAGTTTTGATTTTAGTTTAACCTTCACATATTGTTTCGAAACTACAGCCCAAAAAGTGACCCAAATCAGTTCATAAAAAGTATTCACTAAAGAACGGAAACCAATCAGGATCAGCAATGTTGAGTGAAAGCCAATTATTGCCAGCAATTTTAATAGCAGAAAATAAACTTTAATTGGTATTGCTTTTCAATAGATTTTTAAACTAAAAATGCAGTTCATTAATGAACTACTCCATGAAAAAATAATAATGAGTTCCTCCCAATTAGTTTAAGACTGAGCATTTGTTTTCAAATTGACGTTTAAATGGCGCAATAATTAAGATTGAAAGAGCACCAATTAATTTATAGCGAGAAAATTATGAATAAAACTGTCTTTGCAAACATCCTTTTTGCTGAAAATTGTGGCAGTAAATTCATCATAAATCAGTTAATTCAAATTCGAAGGTCGTAATTTTAAACGACACTGATAGCTGATTTTTGTTCCGACTTTCGGTACGAAAGTAACGGAATATTTGTGCTCGGGGTGGGTTTTTTTTTCTTCAGACAAATTTCGACTTTTTAACTAACCATTTTTGACGGAATTTTTTTATATCATTCGAAAGCCATGGTTGTCCTGAGCTTAAATTTGAAAAGATATTTCACCTGTGATCATTTTTCGTAAAGTTATGATGGTTTAAAGATTGCCATTTTGGCCATTTTGACCAATTTGGGACAATTAACGCGCGATATAATTCGCGCTATTAACGCGTAAGCGGAGATTTAATCCGTCTTATAAATCGTTCCAAATTGGTTGAACGAAGCTTATTTGCCATAATTGATTTGTTACAAGGAACGAAATCTATCTTTTTGTACTTTATATGGCGTGTGGGGGGATGATTTTCATAAAAAATTTCAAATTTAAGAAAAAAAATTTTCATTATATTTTATTTCATTAAATTTTTTATGTTATTAATGCTGCTCCATAAACCTTAAAAGGCAGTCGGAACATTCAGGGCTTCGTACTGATACGAGCAGTCTTGTTGTTATTCAAAGACGTGCAAAAAGATAGAATGCTAAAAAGTTTGATTCTTTCTGGGAGTTTGAAACGCTAGAAAAAAGATACTTTTAAATGTATTTTGAAAAGATAATAGAAAAAATCTATTGTCTATTTGTCTCTTAAAACAAAAAAAAAACGCCGCCCAAAAAAAACAGAAAAAAAGTTCTTTTGTGGTCTTATTTGGAGAAAATTTGACTGGTGATTTTTCGAATTGAATGGTTTTCTTGAAATGGTTTCTAATTCTGCTCTGGTTTTCAAAAAAACGGCCTAAAATTCAATCAAAATAAGACAGTACTTCAAATTGACTATCGTTCACAGGCAGACAAAATAAAATGAAGATTGAAGCAAAATTGTTTATTTTCTGGATCACTGCCGCTTGAAGGTTCCTTACTACTGTTGTGTTACTTCTTTATTTTTTTTCTGCCTCTTACTGTTTATTTGTTTTTCATAGAATTGGGCGCAACGAGCTAATCGGGGCCCTGGAAATAGGATGTCACGTGACTGGGGGGTCGGGCGGAGTGCACTGGCGAGACTGCATCGCCCATGCGCGCAAGCCAGTCACAATGTGGCATACTTTGATTGACGTGCGCACTCTGAAGCGGAACTCAGTCGCTGTCATTCAGAACAAAAAGAGCAAATCTCCCACTGAGTCATCCAATAAAAATTGTGACGTCATCGAAAATGAAGTGCAGAAAATGAACTTGACCTCTGTCTACTAATTCAACGCACAATTTCACACATATGCGAACAAATAAGCTTGAAAACTAATATAAAATACGCAATTCGTTTTGGTCAAACAGAACGTGAATAATATCAAAGAAAGTTAGAAAATTTTTTGTAGAAGCTGTCGGCATAGGGTGACATCTGCTTAATTATGCAAATACAAAAATTGAGGGAAAAAATATTAATCATTACCCAGAGGAAACTCTTTCAATCAAAACTGGCATTTTCAAAACGCGCCTCTTGAACAAAACAAACGTTTAAAAGTTTTATGTGACCATTTTTTTGTAACTGTACGATTGTTTGACCTTAACATTTAGGAAATTATGTTATTGCATTAAAGTTAACGAAATAAACTTCTCAATTTTTGATTTTCTACTTTATAAATAGCAGTGTTCGATAGAAATGGATAAAGTCCCGCAAGCTTTAAAAATCACCTTTTTTCATTGCTGGAAATCATAACAAAAAATACAATTGTTGGTTTTCAAAAAGCTGGGATTCAATTAGAATAATCTGTCTAATCTATTTTGAGTTATCTCTAATTTTAATTCCGAACTTCAGTTAATTTTGTTTTTTTTTTGTATAAATTTACAGTTGATGCCGTAGATGTTTAGAATTTGTCCTGCAATTCAAATTTTGATTGACAATGGCTTTCAAATGGTAACTGTTCGTGAAAGTGCTTCAGATTGTTTCGACGAAGAAAATGTTTATTTTTTTTTCAAAAAATTTTAATTTTTTTTTTCAATCTTAAGTTTCATTTAATTTAAAGGATTAATCGGCCGGTTTAAATTATTTCTTTAAAATTGGACAAAAGAGCAATTCGAAACACAGAAACACAGAATGAGCAATTCGAATAAAAAACAGAAACTATAAATAGTTTGTTCTGTAAACGAATGCTCAATTTAATCCACTTTTCGCTAAATCTAAAAGCGAATTAAAAAAAACTTGAAGCCAGTTTTTGTTGGCGTTGTGACAGCATTTTTGGTTTTTCAATGAAATCCAAAGGATGGCTGAAAAATTTTAAATGACAGCACGCTTGATACATATGAGTGTTCCTTGACATATTCGAGCATGTGTGAAAAAAACGGACACTAAATCATGTTTCGTTGAACGCGTGTGATGATAAGACAGTTTTTTAACGTTCCTGTGGCAAAATGCTCTTTTGTTACAGCGAATTCTATTTATTGTTCCGACTTTCGTAACGAAAGTAACGGAAAATTTGTGCTCGGGGTGGGTTTTTTCATCAGAAAAATTTCGACTTTTTAACTGGCCATTTTTGACGGACATTTTTTATATCATTCAAAAGGTATTGTTGTTCTGAGCTTAAATTTGAAAAAATATTTCATCTGTGATCATTTTTCGTAAAGTTATGGGGGTTTAAAGATTGTCATTATAGTCAATTTGGGACAAATATTGCGCGATATATTTCGCGCTATTAACGAGAGCAATTTAATCCATTTACAAATCGTTCTATGGCGTGTGGGGGATGATTTTTACAAAAAATCTCACAATTTAGAAAAAAAAAATCATTTTTTTATTACATTTAATTTTTTTAATGTTATTAGTGCTCCATAAACATTAAAAGGCAGTCGGAACATTCAGAGATTCGCCCTGATACGAGCAGTCTTGGTAACATTTGATACAAGAATGAAAAGTAAAGAGTGAATTAATCACAAATTTAAACAAGACTGCTCGTATCAGGGCAAAGCCCTGAATGTTCCGACTGCCTTTTAAGGTTTATGGAGCAGTAATAACATTAAAAAATTCAATGAAATAAAACAAAAGAATTTTTTTGTTCTAAAATCTGAAGTTTTTTTCTGAAAATCATCCCCCCACACGCCATATAAAGTACAAAAGGATAGATTTCGCTCCTTGTAACAAACCAATTATGGCAAATAAGCTTCTTTTAACCAATTTGGAACAAATTCTAAGACGGCCTAAATCTCCGCTTACGCGTTAACAGCGCTAATTATATCGCGCGTTAATTGTCCCAAATTGGCCAAAAATGGCAGTCTTTAAACCTCCATAACTTTCCGAAAAATGATCAAAGGTGAAATATCTTTTCAAAATTAAGCTCAGGACAACAATACCTTTCGAACGATAAAAAAATTTCCCATCAAAACAAAAATGGCTAGCTAAAAAGTCGAAATTTGTCTGAAGAAAAAAACCCACCCCGAGCACAAATATTCTGTTACTTTCGTATCGAAAGTCGGAACAAAAACATTGAAAAGAAAGAAAAACATTCTCTTCGTAGGAGACAATGGACGTGTCAAGGTCAAATAAGAAGACATGTTAAAATAATTTAAGAAAATATGATTTAAATAAAGTGATACCCCATAACAGCGTCTCTGTCCGGAAAGGGTACATGTAAGCTCTGAGGAGTTTGTGGGTGTGTGATGTGCAAGTTAATTTTGTAGGTGGGGGTGGATTGCTGTTTATTTGGTTTAAAAGGAGACTTTTGTAAGTAAAGCAGAACTGCTCGTCGCGTGACAAAGCTCTGAAATTTCCAGCCGCCTTTAAATGCGTCTGAAATCGTTTCATTTGGAAAAAGTATTTTTGAGGAATTATTGATAAAAATAAATAAATATGTTGGTTAAAAGGAAAATCTTACATGACCAGTAAAATTTAAGAAAAAACTTCTAATTTTTTGATAATGGACAACAACCATAACATTATCGGTTATTTTGTCTAAGCAACTGTCTAATTATAAACAAAATTAAACAAGACTGCTTGTATCAGGGCGAAGCCCTGAATGTTCCGTCTGCCTTTTAAGATCTATGAAGCAGTAATAACTTGAAAAAACTAAATGTAGAAAAAAAAATAAAATGGACAAAAATTTGTTAAAAAAATTTGAGATATTTTGTAAAAATTATCCCCTCACACGCCATATAAAGTACAAAGTGATAATTTTCGCTTCTAGCAACACATCAATTATGGCAAAAAAGCTTCCTTCAACCAATTTGGAACAATTTCTAAGACGGATTAAATCTCCGCTTACGCGTTTATAGCGCGAGTTATATCGCGCCTTAATTGTCTCAAATTGGCCAAAATGCCAAAATTTAAGCCCCCATAATTTTACGAAAAAAGATCACAGGTGAAATATCTTTTTAAATTTAAGCTTAGGACAACACCTTTTGAATGATATAAAAAATTCCGTCAAAAATGGCTAGTTAAATGTCGAAATTTGTCTGAAGAAAAAAAAATCCCACCCCGAGCACAAATATTCCGTTACTTTTGTATCGAAAGTCGGAACGAAAAATCCAGTGCGGACACTTGGAGTAGATTTTTCACTATGCATGTGAAAACCTACTCATCACTCAGCCTTTAACATTCTTTTCAAAGTTGAAGGTATTATGAACTATCAAACTTTATCTCTTGTGAGAAAATGGTTCAAACCTTTTCTCTTTTCTCAAAGTGCAGTATTATAGCGTGAACTACTGTGTGTAAAAATTGGATTAAGCAAGAATTCAATTAAGTAATTTGATTTCTTTTAGACCTCCTTACTCTACAGAAAAGCAATCTCAACTAAGTTTTCAGTTAAAGTTTACTTAAAAATTTGAGACTTTTTGTGAAAACATCCCCCCACACGACATTTTAAGAACAAAGTGATAGTTTTTGCTTCAGTAATAAATCAATTCTGCAAATAAGCTTCAATCAACCAATTTGGACCGATTTCTAAGACTGATTAAAGCTGCACTTACGCGTTAATAGCCCGAAATATATCGCGCGTTGATTGTCCCAAATTGGCCAAAAGGCCAATCTTTAAACCCTCATAACTTTACGAAAATTGATCACAGGTGAAATGTCTTTTCAACTTTAAGCTCAGGACAACAATACGTTTTGAAGGACTTCAAACAATTCGGTCAAAAATGGCTAGTTAAAAAGTCGAAATTAGTCTGAAGAAAAACAAATATTCCGTTACTTTCGTCACAAAAGTCGGAACAATAACCCGTTCAAATTGAAGTTTGAATTCTTTTTTGCAAAAAATAAAAGGTTGAGCGATTGAGATATTTAAGCAATCAACAAGCAAATGAAAATTCTGTTTCTATACGCAAAAATAGTGAGCCAGAACCGGATACTGGTCGTCGCGCAAAATGATATTTGGTCAATTTACTACTTGGTTCTATGCAAAAAATAATTTTTTTACATAATCTGCAGGGAATGGTTTTCGAAAAAAATCTCCAAAAACAGAAATTTTTTATTCTAGTTTTTAAAAATTATGTCAATCTTTTATTATTTATATGCGTCTTCCACTATCTCTCCCTTTTAAGACATACCATGTGTATAATGCCTAAGCTTTCAGAAAAGAACAAATTTTTGCATGTTTTAGCAATATTGTATATTGCAAAGCTTAAGAAAATCTTTCCAGTTTATCTTTGCTGAGGCTTATGAATGCCGAAATCGTTTTAGTTGACGAGATACGCCAACTTTTTCAAAAATTTGCAAAAAAAACAGATTTCTAAAAATTCACAAAACTTGAAATTCCAATCCCATAGTGGGGTACTGTCAGGATACTCTCAAGGGATGCAAATTATGACTCCAAGAATTACTGCCAAACCCTTTCAGTTTCCGAGATATCACGCTTCTTGATTTTTGAAAAGTTTCGAAAAATTATACTTTTTAACAACCTCATAAAAATTCATAATATCAACTTTATAGTGAATTGCTGTCAGGGTACACTTAGGGGTTGCAAAAAAAAGATCGCTCAAATCCTTATAACTTCCGCAATATGACGTTAATTAAAATTTTTTCAGAAGTTTTCAAAAAAACTTTGGTTGAAAACATTGAGGCGAGAAAAAAAAATTATTCTGATGTTGTGAGTCATCTATGATCATGTCGTTGCAGGGATTCCGGGTGCTTATGATAATAATAAGTATTCGTAAGCGAGAGCTAAGTGATGCAGTTTGTGAGCTGTTGCTATTATTCTGGTTGTGAAATTCATTGTTGTTGTTAATGTAGTTCTCCAGTTTTTGTTCAAGCTAGTATCTGAGTTAAATTTTTAGAATTTTTGGACAAGTTTGGGTCTGCAATGTCACTTTTTGAGTTACCGAGAAGCAGTGGGTTGATCGTAGTGACCGGGCTGAGGTTTTTGACTCATGATTTGACCCACACGGTCGAACGG